GCAAACCACCCTTTTATGGTCCTCGAAAAAATGACAGAAGGAGCCGTCGGTGACTATTGCTGTAGAAACTCGCGACCGGGCTTCCCCCTTGCAATGGCTCTGAATCAGTATGGGACCCACGTTCCGACTGCTCCGACTGTCTTGCCATCCGTCCGTTTTGGGGGAGCTCTCAGGAACGGGGATGGGCAAATTTCCAAGTTTTCTGACCGCCTTCGTTTAAATTCCGGCCAGATGAAACATTGTTTCGGACTTGTTGCTGACAAGCACTTCCCCCTTTTGGGCCTTTTTTTAGTGTTTGCACGTTGGTTGCGTCTGAACTAATCCCACAAAGGATTACTTGGGCTGGCGGAAGAAAGGAGCCCCGTGGAACTGGCGGATTTGAACAAGGACCCCTTTGACTCATAAGAACCGCTGTGTTCGCTTCCCGTGCCTGTTGGATTTGTCGAACCGATAGCCCCCTTTTGAGTACCAAGCAGCCAGAGAAAAAGGTTGCTAGCCCGACAAGGGTTATGAGCCCAAGGACGTAGATCCTCTTAGCTGGGCAATGGATGCCGGAATGCGGAGGAGGCGGGCCCGCAGCGTGGATGCTGGGATGGGCATCGTGGTGGCGGAGGCCGAGGGCGAGCTGGAGGAGGTGCCGCCACACGCTGGGGAAGCACAAGGACGGCGGGTGGAAGTAAACCCGTTCTGGAGTCAACGCGCGCGAGATGAAGCGGCGCTGAAGGCGAGCCGACCGAGCGGGCTGCCTCCGGTGCCGGGGACAGATGAGAAGCTGGCCGAAGAAGAAGATCTTCAAGAAGGACCTGGCCCGGATGGTGGACTGCTCGGATGGGGTGATCGTCAGAACGGTGAGCACCCGGAGGCGGTCTCCAGCCGGGGGAATGAGGAGTTCTGGAGCGACGTGAAGAGGGACCTCTTGGCCGACCTTGAGGGAGCATCCGTCGCACCTGGTGGAGGTGTTCCTCGCCCGGATGATGTCCGTGAACCCGGGCTGGATGATCGAGATCGGCGACCTGGAGGAGGTCGTGGGAACGAAGGTGGAGGGCTGCCACATGGGAATGATGGTGGACTTCAACGAGGAGAGGATGATCGGCTTGGTGAAGGCCGTGGAGAGCCCAGTAGAGGCGTGGAGGGATATGGATCCATGCGTGGCAGACCGATGGGCCGAGAAGGTGATCTTCGGGGGCCTCGGATGGTGGATGCCCGAGCACTATGGCGAGGTGCAGAACGTGAAGGGCAAGGAGATCGGCAGGCTCGTCAGCCAGGTGAAGAACATGGCGGTCGAAGAGATCAACAAGAGCGCCGTCCTGGAGGAGAACGAGACGGGCAAGGCGATCGACAAGCTGGACAGCCTGGTGAAGGGCAAGGAGAGCGGCCGGTCCCGAGGCCGAGTGATGGAAGAAGGCTACAACAGGTACCTGAGCATCGGCAAGATCAGGTTGGGCGAGGCCGAGAACAACGAGAAGTTGAAGATGGGTGGGATGCGGCAGTAAGGAAGTCCGGGATTCTTGGCGGAGGTCGAGAACAGGCTGGTGCTGCGGGAAGCAGCGGAGAGGAAGCCAGGAGGTGGACCTGGGGTAGCCGCGGTCTGGATCTGGATTGGGCTTGGAATGACGAGCTCAAGGTATGGATTCCGGAGAAGGCTCAGCGCCCAAACGATGAGGAGGAGCTGATCGGCGAGATGGACCTGGCTGAGGAAATGGAGAGGAACTACGGCCGGGCGTGCAAGAAGCTGGTCGGCATGGAGAAACAGCGGAAGCACCTCTTCGGCGTGATCAAGGAGCTGAGAGGAGAGGTCAGGAAGACGCAGGAGAAGGCTCAGTTCTGGAAGGAACAGTATGAGCAAGCGGTTCGTGACCAGCATGTGGAGCCGGAAAGGTTTGAGACGCCGGTGGAGGAGATGTTTGTCACCCCGATGGCACAAGCGATTGTTCCCCGGATTGTGGCCCCGGTACCACCGCCACCGCCACCGCCACCAAGGCCGGTGGAAGTTCTTGCAGCGAGGACGGCCAGTACCCCGAGAGCAAGGACTCGGTCGCCTGCATGGAGGTGTACCCCGGGTGGAACTCAGGTGCCGGAAGGAGAACCGCCGAGGACGGAAGATGCTGACACAGGCTGGGAGGCAAGGTGGGATCAGCAACCACGTGGAGGATGGTACAGGAACTGGAGCGGCGTGTGGGGCTCCTGGGATGACTGGGAGCAGAACACAAAGGCGGAGGCGAAGCCGCTGGACCAGATCGAGACGGGAGGAGCAGGGGCGAAGGTGGAACTGCCGGAGCTGGCGTATGATCATTCCCCATTGACGTTGGGGGATTGGTTCGCGGTGGTGGGGCCCCAGATGCAGGATCTTTCCCAAGGAGCGGCTGAGTGGTGGATGGGCACAATGGAAGAGGCGAAGAAGCTCTATGAGGTTTGGCTGAGGAGCACTCCCCTGGACCGGCTCAAGATCACGGTCGGGATCCCGGAGGCTCTCAGAACTGCCAGGTTCGTGCGGACGGAGCAGCGTGGGGTCACCATGCTGCTGCGGGCAATTCCGGAGGAGATCCGCAAGGAGTTGATCTCGGCAAGGGACATTAGCAGCACGGGGGTGCTGTACAGGCTGTTGGTGACCTATCAGCCTGGTGGTCCTGGAGAACGGTCCTTGATCCTCAGGAAGCTCACGGACTTGGGCCAGATGAGGACGGTTGCAGAAGCAGCAGTCGCTTTGAGAGAATGGAGGAGGTATTACCTGAGAGCGCAGGAGATTGGAGCCTCGCTCCCAGACCCTACGCTTCTGGCGGCGGCATTGGAGAAGGTGACGCAGCTGGTGAATCGCGGAGGGCCGCAAGCCTTTCGGGTTGCCCAAGCGCGGACGCAGTTGGGGCTAGATACCACGCCCACGGTGCAAGGCATTTGGAACTACTCGGAGCTGCTGCTTGCGGAGATGGACACGGCGAGGCTGATGGCGGTGGAACCGGCCAGGGTAAAGGCAATGGTCGCCGGCACCACAGCGGACAGGCCCACTCCGGACCATGCGAAAAAGGAGATGGGTACGGCAGTGTGCAGGTACTTTGGGTCGGAGCATGGATGTCGCTTGGGAAAAGGGTGCAAGTGGAATCACGACTGGGAGACAGTCGGAGATCGGAATGCACGGTGCTGGATCTGTGGGTCGAAGCAGCACCGACGACCAGATTGTCCGGTGAAAGGTGGAGGAAAGGGCCAGCCAGCGAAGCCGGTGGTCAAAGCTGCAGCGCACGAGCCGAGAGACGGCTCGGGGGGAGGTGGTGCAGCTGGCAGTGGTGGAAGCGGTCCGGCAGGAGCAAGCGCAGGCGCAGGAGCGAGTGGGTGGACTGCAGGAGGATCTGAAAAGATCGAGAAAGCGGAGGTGGTGGAGGCCACGGCATGGACGGCGACATCTACAGGTGGTGGAACGGGGGAGCTGTTGGCTGAGGCAACACAGCTTCTTAGGTCGATGAGGGCTCCATCCGCGAAGTCAATGGTGGTGATCAAGGAGATGAACACGGTGGTGATCAACAAGGGCCTGCTAGACGGGGGAGCAACTCATGCACTGCGGAAGTGCAAGGACCTGGAGGAGTGGGAAGCCGCAACGCCGACAAAGGTGATCCTGGCGGAAGGAACTACTTCGAAGATGAGGTTGAAGGAGGGAACCCTCACGCTGATCACGCAGGAGGACATCCAGCCGATCGTGCCCATGGGCGTTTTGACCATGATGGGGTACGAAGTGGAGTGGAAGCAGGGACACTGCAAGGTTCGGCGGAGGGGCAAAAGCCTGGAGGTGGAGATGGTAGACAGTTGCCCCATGGTGGAGGTCGAGATCGCATTGGGCCTCATCGAGGAGATGGAGCTCATGGAAGAGAACCACATGCTGCGGTTGGCGGCGATGAAGATGCCGATGGAGCAGTTGAAGGACAGACCGGAGCTGGCCATGACCAAGGCACTGAAGGAATTCTTTCCGGGGGTGCCGGATGAGATCGTGAGCCGGGTGATGCCCAGCATGGAGGTGGATGGGGACGAGCTGCCCTGGAATAGGAGAAGGAGGCGGACATTCGAACGGGCGGAGCACCTCGTTATCCACTTGTTTGCGGGTGCGAATGAGAAGGAGTGGATGGATGGCCTGGAAGGGCAGGGAGTTGCGGTGGTATGCGTGGACACAGCCATCGATCCGGGTCAGGACCTTCATAGGCCGCAGGTGTTTGCCTACTTGTTGAAGCTGGCCAGGACGGGCAAGGTCAAGGCAATCCTGGGCGGTCCACCGTGCAGGACGGTCTCGGCCTGCAGAACGAGGAGTCCCGGGCCAAGGCCGGTGAGGTCGGTGGAGGAGCCCTACGGCAAGAAGGGACTGAACCAATACGAGAAGGAGTTGGTCGATGGGGATGCGGTGCTATGGCTGAGGATGCTCACACTGCATGTGGTGGCGCAGGCATCGACGGAGGACAAGGTCCTGTTCGTGAAGGAGCAGCCACGAGATCCTGGAGAATACCGGGATGATGGCAACCCGGACTATGTCAGCGTGTGGAGGTTTCAGGAATGGAAGACCTTTGAGCAGAAGTACGGCATGCACCTGGTTCGATGTGACCAAGGAGCACTGGGCCATCGGAGGCGGAAACCGACGACGATCGGGGTGAACGCGCCGTACCTGGACCATCTGGATGGATTGGGGGGCCCAGGCACGGGGGAGGAGGAATGGACTGGAAGCCTTGAGGAGCGAATCCAGCAGACGAAGTCATGGGCGTGTTGGGCGCCGGGTTTGAAGATGGAGATCATGAAGGCGGTGAGGATGCATTTGAAGATGCAGCCGCAGCTGAAGCCGGTGCGGGTGGACGAGCTGCAGAGATGGAAGACGCACTTCCTCAACGACCACATGCCGGCGAGAAGGGATTGCAAAACGTGTGTGCAAGCCCAGGGACGGGGGAGACCGCACGTGAGGGTCACTCATCCGGATGCATACACCTTGGCGGTGGACCTCTCCGGGAAGCTCAAGGAGGGCGTCGACCAGAGAGGAAAGGTGGCGTACTTCTTGGTGGGTGTGTACACGTACCCGGTGGACATGAAGGGGAGGTCATTGGTGCGTGAAGAGGAGGAACATCCGCTTCCTGCAGAAGATGATCTACTACCGGAGGCGGACGAGGAGATGGAACCACTGGAGGTAAGGGAAGATGAGGAGGTGGTAGCAGAGGAAAGAGAGAACGAAAAGGACGTTGGTGACCTGGAAAAGTGGAAGAAGATGGTGCAAGAGGCGGCGAGCTTCAAGGTCAAGAACTTGGTTTTCGCGGAACCCGTGCTGGACAGGAAGGCGATGAACGTGCTGCCGGCGATTGCACGGATATATGCTCGGTTGCGAGCGCTGGGGCTGCCGGTGTTGCGCCTTCATTCGGATCGGGCGCGGGAGCTTGTTTCAGCTCCAATCAGGAAGTTCGCGGAGGACAGAGGCATCTACAAGACGACCGTGCCCGGCGATAGCTACAAGGAGAACGGCCGTGCCGAGCAGGTTGTGGGTGCTTTGAAAAGGGCGACACGGACGATCTTGTGCGCCTCCAAGGAGAAGGTGGAGGTGTGGCCTTTGGCACTGCGGCAAGCAGCAGAGAGGATGTTGCGGGGTCAGCTTCGGAGCTTGGGATACCCCGCGAAGCAACTGCTACCGTTCGCGTCCGTGGCCTACGTGAAGAAGAAGGCATGGACGGACCGCTACCAGGATTGGAGGTGGGACAGAGAGAGGGTCACGGTGATGGGCCCGGATGCCGCAATGTCGCTCACCTCGGGTGGATATTGGGTGAGGAGCTGCGAAGATGGGAGGTTCTTCTCGACCACGGATGCAATTCCGGAGCCCGAGGAGATCAACATGGAGGTAGAGGAAGCCCTGAACAGAGAGCAAGGGGCGGTGAACTTGGAGGTGAGACCGGAGGTGGACCTTTTGGCGCCAAAGAGGCGGCGGCTGAATGGGAAACAGAAGCTGTCGACGATGCGCGTCGAGGGGGAGGATGTGGAGGAGAAGATGTTGGAGCACCACGGAAACATTGCTACTTGGGTAGCTGAAGAAATGGAACTGCTGGATGGAGTTGGAGAAGGGCAAGAGTGGTGGCTCCCGGTGGTTCGCGAAGGAGTTCAAGAGAAAAACGAGCTGGAGATGAAGCTCAGACAGATGAAAATGGAGGATGTAGACCGCCTGGAGGAGGAGTGGTGGGTCACGAAGACGGTGGGAATGCAAGAGGTGAGGACGGAGCTCCAGCACTGGATCGAGCCGGCCAAGAAGGAGTACATCGCGATGACCGAGGAGCTGAAGGCGGTGAGACCGGTGTCGAGGAAGGAGGTCAACGATCTGCCGGGGATGGTGGAGTTCCTGCCGTCAAAGGCAGTGTGCACGAGGAAGGCGCCCGATGGAAGGAGGAAAGTCCGGGGCGTGGTGTGCGGCAACTTCGCAAGCAGCACCGCACAGGAGGACACATATGCGTCCGGAGCGGATGCCACTCAGATCAGGAGTTTGGCGAAGATGGCGGCAATGAGAGGGTGGTCTCTGGCGGGGACCGACATCCGTACGGCATTTCTTCATGCCCCGAGAAGGGATGATTCCAAGACGGTGGTGATGGAGGTGCCGGCGATCTTCCGGGAATGTGGGTTGGCCAACAAGGAGGAGGTGTGGATCATAGACAAGGCGGTCTACGGGTTGACCACAAGCCCAAAGGACTGGGGGGTCCATCGCGATGGCATGTTCAAGAAGATGATGTGGAAGTGGAAGGATGAGGAGGACGTGGAGTGGGACATGAAGTTTGAGGTCACGGAGGAGCCGAACCTCTGGAAGATCATTGGATGCCACGTGAAAGGTGTCGACCTCACTGGAAGGCACATGGGCTTCATGTCGATCTACGTGGACGACGTGCTGATAGCGGCCAAGCAGGAGGTTATCAAGGCGGCGGTCAAGAGAATTGAACAGGAGTGGCCGCTGTCAGATATCGAATGGCCTTCGGAGGAGGAGCCGTTGAGGTATTGTGGTTTTGAGATGTGGAAGTCGGAGGAGGGCTTTGACTTGAGGCAGAGCGCCTACGCAAAGGAGCTGGTTGAGAAATGGGGCGTTCGGGAAAAGATGGAGGTGCCGATGTACAAGGCTCCGGAGGAGGAAGAAGAGTTGGACCCCACGATGCTTCGACGGGCACAGGCAATCACGGGTGGGTTGCTTTGGTTGGCAACGAAGACGAGGCCAGATTTGATGGCGGGAGTCGCAACAATGGCCCGTAACATGAAGAGCCCGAAGCAGGTGGTGGATGTGGGCATGGCGTTGCTGAAGTATGTGAACGCCACGACCGACGTGGGCCTCAAGTACGCGAAGGCTACTGGATGGGGTGCTCGGGATCACCTGAGCGTGAAGCGACACGACAAGTTGCTGGAGGTGTTTTCGGACATCAGCTATGGCACGGCAGGAGACCACAAGAGCGTGCAGGGCATCTTGGTCTACTTCGCGGGCTCGCCAATTGCATGGGAGGCGACCAAGCAGCCGTTTGTGGCGCAATCCACGGCGGAAGCGGAGCTGATCGGGTACTGCGAGTCGTTGGTGGCGGGAAGGGCGACGGCTGCTTTGTTGGAGGTGATCCTGGGTGAGCAGCTCACCCAGAAGAGGATCTACGGGGACAACGTGGCGGCGATAGCCCTGGCATCAAACGGGTCGGGGAGCTGGAGGACGAGGCACTTGCGAATCAGGGCGGCGTCGTTGCGGTGGGCCCTGGAAGATGGTGGCTGGTCGCTCACGCACCTGTCGGGAAAGCAGCTGGTGGCAGACGGCATGACGAAATCGCTTAATGGCCAGGCCTTCGAGCGATTCAGGGAAGACCTGGGTATGCCGGTGGTAAAGAAGATGATGAGGAAGGCCATTTTGGCTAAGGAAGAGCAGGCAGTCACTGCGGACGGCTTCGGCATGAAGGTGAGGTTGTTGGCGGTGATCGGAGCAGATTTGGTGGGGAAGGCGACAGCCATGAAGGGCATCATGCCTGTGGACGAGTTGGATGTGCTGCTCGTCGTGGGAGTCATCCTGATGGCGATCGGAGCAGTGTGGGTGGCGAAGCAAACCGCGGGTGTTGCGGTGGGCTGTGTGAGAAGGCTGAGAGGCGTTCAGCCTCTGGAGGTGGTTAAGGTAAAGGAGAAGCCCCGGGACTTGGTGAAGGTGGACCGTGGGATTCAGGAGCTTCATGATCATTGGGGCCGAACGTGGGTGGTGCGGAAGGACGATGGAGGGGGGTTTGAGCAGGAGCACCACTGGAACGAAACGGCGGCATCCTCGGCATCCTCGAGCTCGACGTCGAGGGTGAAGGCATGCAGCAATAGCTGGAACGCGTTCCAGCACGCCAACAAGGGCAAGGGATGGGGATCCGAGAAGATGCGCGCCGAGTACTACAAGGTGAAGAGCATTGAGAAGAAGAAGTAATGAGGGGGGTTTGAGTCGGGAATCAAGCCGGTAAATATCCCGGTAGATTCATTTTGGAATGGTGCACCATGCACCAGGGGGAGCCTGTTGGATTTGTCGAACCGATAGCCCCCTTTTGAGTACCAAGCAGCCAGAGAAAAAGGTTGCTAGCCCGACAAGCCGTGGATGCGTAGCCAGCAGAGTAAAAAATGGTTGCTTGCCACTCCATGACCTTTACAGAAAGTATGGATGAAGTCCAACAACTGGGAAGCGAGTATACAAGGACCCGTCGCCAGGCCTTTCGAAACACAATCATGTTGAACGCGGGTCTCAAAATGATTGGACCGCTTTTGCATAGCTTCAAATGACAACCACTTGGAGGGCCTGTGTTTTAATGGCGTTTACACTTGCAAGATGAGTGGGCACATTTTAGTCTTTCCCATATTCCGGATGTTTGGTTCGTACAAAGCCGAATTGCCACCTGGGCTATCTATGGGACTAGGATATTCACCAAAACTGTTACCGACGTTGGGGGGAGGCCCGATTGTCAACTGAAAAGGAAGGCCCTTTAGATCTTGAGAGGTGGCATTAGCTTGGCTTGCACCAAAAACCGGAGAAGTAGCCTTGTGAATTGTGGTTAGGAGCAATATAGAGAAATCCTATCTTGATTGGTTTAGAACAGAGCAAACGCTGATGTGAAACTCATTATTCAATTGTGAGGATTCCATTTTTTCTACACACACACAACAGGCAGAAGGGGTTCGCAGTTTTGTGGCCAAGCCCGAACTTAAATACCCCAACCAGTCCAATCTTGATACCTGCTTGCTTGATACTCAGATCTCTTGCGATAGCCACGCAAGTAATTAAAACCAAAAGTAAACCAACAGGAAGCAAACAGGAAACCAAAAGTGAGCCAACAGGATGCCCGAGAAACCAAACAGAGCCAAATTGCAGCGGTCGGAACAACAGCATGCACAAGAAGACGTTCAGGCTTCCGTAGGAACATCCCTAGAGCTTCTTGTTCTTGGACACCCCCACATGGCTCTTTCAGGGTACCCCACCTTGGTATCTTTAGAAGGACAACCAAGAGAAAACACTGCATATTGGGGATCGCCCACTTTGGAAACATACCTGCATCTCCCAAATTCTCCCAGCGTCCCGCTCTGCCTTGCCCACGGCGGGGTCGCGCTCGCACGCCTCGATCGCCGCCAGGCAAGACTTGACAACCTGCGGATCGGCTCGCGCGCTCGTCTGGGACCGTCTAAGCGGCTTTGTACTAAGCCCTTTGCTGTTGGAGGCTGTCTGCTGGCGGTTTGGGCCAACGATTCTCCCAAACCTTGAGTTTTGGGAGAAACACATTGACGTTTTGCAGCCTTTTCGAGGAAAGAAGTAGGTGTTTCTGAGTGCTCATGCAATCGAAACATGTAAAATATGACGGTCGACCAGTCATCTATGGGGAATGTTTTTCCAGCCTTGGACAAGTACCAGTCAAATAGGATTGAAGGTCAAGCATAGAGTGATGGACGCTGCAAACGGACGGATTGGACCATGGGCTACCTGGGCCCAACTGCTTTCAGTGTTGCTTGCCAGAACAAAATCAGGTTGGGCGAGAGATTGCTGCAGGGATGATGCAAGGGTAACTGTGCTTTACATGTTTCCCTGCCTTTTTTCCTGCTCCACACACTTGCTGGTTGATTTCGGTCACCTCAGCCAACCAACCAATCGCAATCAACCCTGCTTGCTCCCTTGCAAGCGCATGCCTGAAAGACATGCTTTCCCACGCTTCATGCAATCCTTTTTGCCGTGCCAGTCGATGGTTCGCGGGCCTCCCGGGAGGTTTGGTCCATGTCGATGGGGATGAACTTCACCGCTACCCCCTCATCCACCAGGCGCTTGCTCCAGCTCGTTGGGCTGTCGATCAGCACTGACCTCACCCCCAGCGCGTGTGCACGCTCGTAGATGAAGCGCTTGCCCTCGTAGCCCGTGGTGATGAACACGATGGTGGCACCCTGACAGCGAAATGTACGCCTCTGAAAAGTGACCAAACACTTGAAGACAACTTACAGGCAAGTGTCTTTTTGGCAGCCCCGCTTTTCAGGTTGAATATCCACGAGGTGTGCGCGGAGTCTGACAAAGGAGCGTGGCAACGCATCCAAGAATCAGACCAAAGGATATCCTAACCACCTTTGCGACCTTGAAACGCTTTCTCCCCCACGTTTCTCTTGACAATACCCAGCCATGCGCTCCACTGTGCCCCTGCCTTCAGGATGCCTCTGCGAAGGCGCTGACCCGTATCTCCTCTCTGTGTCAGCAGTCTCCTGCACCCGGAGAAGCGTCAGTCCCCGAAAAAGGACGAGGCAAAAAAAAACAACGCATCACCAAAAACATCACCATCATCATAGGAGTCATCATCGTCGTCAGTGGCTTCCTGTACAACAACGCAGCGGTGGCCAGTAAATATGGCATGGTATGGCAACTGGGGAGCGAGTTGTACAGTATGTTTTGAGCTTTGCCCAAAGGTATACAAAAAGGCCCGGGAGCCCAGAAGAAAAAAGGAGCGCAAGGGCCACTTTGCCCCACAATCCCTACATGCCCGCAAAGAGGTCAAACGGGCCCAGAGGCGACAATGCCCGCAAGAGGCATGTGGTGGCTGCAAGCCAAGAAAGGAAACAATACGGCACTGAACTGAAAGGGTGTTGGTCCCCATGTGTTGTGTTTGGGAGGTGGTGGTGCTGCGTGGCTGCGAGGACCTGGATGCAATAAAGCAACATGGCAGACCAAAGGGCCATTTCTAGGTAGGGCTAAGATTCCCGTTTCACAAAGGCACACCCGGCTCTTTCCGAACACTTGTCTCAACATGGCAACGACCCACAACTGTTTACATTTCCTCTTATTAATTTCCCTTCAAAGGCATGGCGACTGGCTCTGCATGCTCTTCTTTTTCCCCCGTCCTAGGCACCTTGGCGAGGCGCTCGGTGGTGGTGGCGTTGGGGATAGTGTCCAACGTCTTTAGCACCTCGGCGAGCATCTCAGAAGGGATCGACTACACCGCTACCCCAAAATGGTTCTAAATGGTGTGGGACACACTAGACATAACCGTTGATGTCCAACCCTGACGGGCCACAGCTCCTTTTGTCAGTTGCTCGCTTCTGGGAAAATGCAAAACACTACAAAGGCTTCCTCAATAGCATGCAAACAGCCATCAATCAAATGAGGACTGAGCACAAAGACCTGCCCCGCCAAAACCCCCAAAGAAGCAGCCGTTAGGGGATGTTATGGCTGAATTGCTGAAGATCCTTGCTGGCTAAGGGTCTGCATTCCACCAGTGAGGACCCCCGAACTAAACACCCGAATCGCCCGAATCCCTATGAGAAATCGCGGTGGAGCAACCACCTGCTCCCGAACGTTTGTTCAAGCAATGCTTGCAGGTGAACCCTATCTTGGAAACACCCAGGTTGTGTCAAAGACTTTCTCCGTGCTCTCGGGGTGCGTAAAGCAAAGGAGAAGCAAACAAGCCAGTGTTTCTTGACTGGGTCTCACCAAACCTCGAACAGGCAAGAAGACATGACCAACAATTGGGCGGCACCCCATTCAATAAGGGGATAAGCGGAATGGGGTGCCGTGTCCTGGGCCAAACAAATGCGAATACCAAAACCATGGGTTGTTCAGCGGCCACTCCCCGATGTTTGCACCGAAAAGCCCAGCAGCTCCGACCCGACGACTCAATCCCCCGCCTGGTCCACGCGCTTCTCGTTCTGCAGCTTGCACTCCGCGGGGCTCAGCCCCTGGGGCAAACTGCCCGGGGACGCCAGGAGCTGCTCCACCAGGAAGCCCTGCCTCGAGGCTCATGGGGTCCACTCGCGCCCCGCCCGAAAACGGGGTGAGGGTTAAAGGACGGAGTTTGGGGGAGTGGAGCCACAAATGCCATTTCAAATGTCACCCTCCCCGATTCCATGTGCAAGCCCAAAGTTTGCTATGTGTGGCGCTGCGCGTCGATTCAACTGAGGCAAGTAAGAACACCGGACACCGGTGACCCTTCTTGGGGAGGCCCTTTAATCAAAGGAGCCACAAAATGATGTCGAAATGGCGGCTCAAGACCCCCAATGTTTGGACTTCCCCCCAACTGTTCACAGCTGTGTGCCACTGTGAGAGACAGCTGCCTATTGTCCCACGGAAGGCAATGGCAACAAAACCTGCGAAGAAGCCACAAGTGGAGTTTGTATCAAAGCTTTCCTTGAGAAGCGATCCTCCCTGTAGGAAGGTTTGAGTCAGTGTTTTGATCCGACTACATTCTGTGAGTGGACACGATGGCATGATGGCATGACTGCCCCACTGGCGACACATAGATTTCTGACAGGCGGCATGATCGAGAATTGCGGGCATCGCATTGCTTTTTTTGGTGCACATAGGTGTTGCTCCACGGGGTTGGCATCCTTTAATAATTTTAGTCCCCATTTAGAGACAGGACATACAGTGGCACTTGGCGCTGGCTTGAGAACGCCAGGCTGCGTGGGTGACTTGAAGCCGTCCCTGTTGTACCACCCAATCTCCTGCAGGGGTGGCGATTTGTTGCGGCCTCTCTCATCAAACATGACAAGGAGCAAGCGTTTGCAAACGAACGCCCAAAACGTTGATCGTCTGGCTGAGAAATTGTCATGTTCCAGAAGGTGAACACATTGAAGAGTCTTGAAGAGTCTGGGCTTCCCTTTCTTGGGGCATTCATGGGGACAGTCACTGAAAGGGTAGCGCCCAACCGATGTCCTTCAGCCTGCCTGGCTGTGCGGTGGCCATGTTCTTGCTCGTGGGGGTCTTCGTCACCTTCACGGGCTCGTCCAAGCCCGACACCGTCAGTACCGTGTGCCTGTCATCCTGCAGGGCAAGAGGTCCAAGAGGCTTTGAATGGAGGAACGTATGTCGACATAGCCACGATGCACATTCATTGTGGCCACAAATGACGGTGTCTCTATGTCATCCCCTTCTCTAGGTAGACAATCATGAATAGGCCCACTGCTCACATTGACAACCATGTCATCTTTCAAACCATGCAACGCATGTCATACATCCCCTGTGTTCGAGTTGAGGATTTGGTTGGTGGGCAGATATGTGAAAGCCATATATTGGAGAAGTCATGGGGGACGCGGGGTTGCTTCATGTGGTTGTTTTGGCTCTTGTGTTTCCCCAGCTGCGCTAAGGCTCGAACTGCGCCAATGTAACACTTGAGCCTCCCAGGGAATCATGAGGTGGAAATTCACAAGCACTGGCATGTGAAAGCCTTGGGGTGGACAAGGCTAACATTGCTGCATGTATGGGGGCTTTAGGATTGGCTGATTTAGGGTTCATTCAGGGACTCCTTCAGGGATTGGGGGTTTGGGGGTGATTCAGGGTTTGATTAGGGGTTGGTTTCGGGTTGGTTTGGGGTTGAGAGCGCTGGGTCACTGCTCGGAAAGCGTGCTTGTTGTTCTTGGACAACAACGGGGGAACAACCTCATCCAGCTGTGTTATGTGTTTCTCAGGTTATTCCTTCAAAGTTGCAAGTGAACTAGCCCCAAACCATGTTCAATCACGGGCGACCGGGGATTCCATCTTCCCGACGAGGGATCATCAGGAGTCGACCAAAGCAACCGGAAGGTCGAGCTTTCAGATTCCGGCGGAACAAACTCGCATATGGCCAAAACAGCTGTGGCTTAAAGAATAGACCGGTAAACCTCCTGCACCAACGCTGCTTCGAATCGAATCGAATCCCAAGCCGTCGATTCGCTTCCTGGGGCGTGCTCCAGGTGCCCCACGGCGCCGGCATGGAGGGCACCGGGGAGGCCCAGCTGCCCACCCGGGGCCGAGCCATGGAGGGCACCAGGTCCACCTAAGCGCTGAGAACGCCGGGCCGGGCCACGGAGCCACGGGAAGGGGAAAAAAAAAACACGAAAATCCCCGGGCCTGGAGTCTGATTTACTGATGGACGAAATCGCTTTCGCACCAGGTATTTACAGGAGAATCATCCTTCCAGGGCTTGCTAGGTGGTGCAGGATCTCTCCAATGAGGGATGAGGGTCGCTAGGCTGACCACCCTCCCAAGTAGCTCTAGTTGTGCATCTTTCTACCCACCAAATGTTTATGAAGGCCGTCATCGGCCCTCACTTCGTATGATGCTTCTTCAACTCGGGAGCGAAACAAATCCCATTCTACTGACATGGCATGAACTACATACATTAACATCTAACTCAGACACTGATTCCATGTTGAACGTAAAGTTGACGGCATGAACAAATGGTGGCATGCCATGTCGAAAAATCACTGGAATTGAGTCTGAATGGCGTTGATTATCTTGGTGCATCGCATGCGGCACGCACGCACATGCCCACAAGCCCACCATGTTCAAGGCGTGTGCTGCCATGGCCATGGTTCCCATTCTTAGGTAACTCAAAGCAAGTGCTGTGTCTCAGGCTAAATGGAGACGGTGACGATCTCTGCAACTCCCATCACCCCGCCTCGGCAGGCGGGCCCCAGCTCCCCGGGGACATGTCCGGAGCCACTTCCGGAGCGTTGCTCGGGAGGAGGAAGCGGAAGCAGCCAAAGCACCCAGTCGAATCTTTGCCCATGGCCTGGGGTGGCAATGCGTCTGACGGGAAAACATGTGGCTGTTCTTTTCTTTTTAGAAAGGCACAAATGCGAACAAATACTGCAGTTTGCATAAACCGCGAATGTGGCATTGCAAAATTAGAAAGACTACAGATTGAAAAGTCGAGAAGTCAAAACATACTCCCTTCCCATACTGAGCCCGCCGAACCCCATTCCCCGTTGGCCTACCGACACTCTTTCAATAGGCCTAAGGTCAAACGTGCCAGGAATAATATGTTGAACAATCAGGAACCGATATTATGTCGAAAGTTCGAAACGTAACAACACAACTCGAACAGTCGCAACGTCGAAAAGACAACATGAACCATCAAATAGAAAAGTTCAAAAAAGTCCCAGTTGCATTCGTTACTCCCGAAAATTATCCAGCCCCCTTGTTCCCTTGAAAGATTGGATATGTTCAAGAGTCTCTTATATGGAACACACCCAAATGCAAGTGCGGGCTACAAGTAAGCAGCGCCCAGCGGCGAGTCTTGGATCAAGTCTTTCAGCAAGGGGAGCACCGCAATGGCACCGCGCGCGCGATCTGACTGGACCGCCAAAAGGTTCTGAAGAAGTTAGAAAGCAGTAGCAATAAAATCAAGAGCCTTCAGTGCAAGTTTGGTGGGTCAATGGGTCAAAAGCAGTGACGAAGGGATAGTCCTCAGCCCAGGGTATCTTGAGGAGCAAACAGCGGTCGAGGCGGCCATGATCAAACAGCCGTTGCAAAGCGGCAAGCTCCTTCACTGGCAGGCCCGGCAATCACAATCTTTCAGGAATCTTGCTCAGCTCCCTAGCCCCCTAATGCAACAGGATGCAAGCCCGCTGCTCACCGCAGAATAAACTGAGTCCTTCTGGATAGCGTGTATTGCATGCCGGCTGTGGTGACAAATGCAAAGTAGAAATACACACAAGAGCACGCGCGCACACGGAGACCACCATGGAAACACATGGACAACATGCCCATCACCTGTTCCTCCCTTGGTGCATGTTGGTGCCTCCCTCCCGAGCCGCGGAGGCTGGCCACAAACAGGGGCCGAACGCGAACCCGAACGGGAAGATTTCAGACAGGACGAGCCGCTGTGCCACCCTTTTTCCTGGGCCAAACGTCCGCAGATTGACATCCCCCTGCCACCTAGCGCTTCAAATGAAGCCGCTTGACAAACCTTGGCCGATCTCAATGGGTGTTTCCTCAAATCCGGAACACCTAAGCCGAGGCGATTCCTCTGGGTGAGACGGAAGAAACGTGCGTGCTCTGGGTTCATTCATCCGACGCTGTAAACCTAGTGGTCCTTTCCAACACCCGGTAGTTGTGAGAACCTCAACCAAAATATTCACTTTGATGAAACCAGGTTCACGCTAGCCGCGGCCCATCCGGCTGAGGTTCTTCTTGTCCACCTCCTCCTGGGCTCTGCGCAAGCACCCGCCCGGTCATCTCTGTCAAAGTGTACTGATCAATGCAGGCGGTGCTTTGTCGGGCCCATCCAATTGTTTTCACTTGACCCATGGGAATGGTGTCCTGTTCTGAGAAAACTAGCGGCCTTTGTTTGGCTTACGCCTTTGCCAAGCCACGTTGTGGGCCAGGCTGGAGATGGGGTAGTTCCCCGCGAGGACATCGAAGGTCCCCAAGCCTGCGCTTGGATACCCCTTTAACAAATGGAGAAACGTCCCCAGGGATTGTCCCAAACGATCCTTGGTTTCACAAGGGAGTCAGGCAATCCCGTATTTAAAAATAAAGGTTGATAGGAGCAGCCCTATTGTCAACTTCCAACGTTTACAAGGCGTAGTCGGAGGGATTCCCTGAAAATGCATCAATCCCCCCACTTCAAGGGAGAGCGGTAGATCCATCCGAATTTGGAGCAAGTCTCAACATGTCCAGATCGTACCAACTCTCACGCTGGGGAAGTTTCGGCTGGAAACGACCAGCGCTTCAGCGTCCGCCAGCGCAGACGGCTTTGGGCGCCTCCATCGAAGTAGTAGCGCATGTGAAGCAACTCCCGGTGCTTTTGCCTGAAATCGGCCCGTGTTTGGTTTTGATGCAATCTCCAGTGCGGCTCCGGAATCTCTACCAGCAATCTGGGTGACCCTCTCAATTCCTGACTGAATTACCCGGTGGTTTCGGGGCTTTATGCAAAACTTGCGGGTGGACAAGACAGCTCATGTACCAAGGTCCTTGGGGTCAGCTTCGCACTTCTCCGAGCGCCGCACAGCCAGGTTCTTGCTTTGGAGTCGGCAAGTTGAATGATCCACTCCTCAGCTTCAAACAGCATCCGGCAAGTACTTCGCACTTGCCACATTCAATTTGGGCAAACTCAAACAAAGGGCAACCCTCACAAAGGTGATATTTTTGTGGTCAAGCTGTCTAGAAGAAGCAAATCTGGAATCTAGGCATTGCACCCCCGTCCCTCTGCCAAGTCTCTTCGTAGTTGTCATTGTCCATGAACCGGCAGGAACGCCGATACGCGCACTTGATGGTCCTGCCCCGAATGCGTCAACATTCTGCAGCTCGAGCCCAACCACCTAGCGCCTGTTTCATGTCGAGTGCCCGGTTGCTTGAGTTTACCCTAAAATCTAAAATTCCTGTCTTTGGACTCCAGGCTCTTTTGCTGTATCAATCCGGGTGCAGGCACTCTTTTGGGACCGGAGCTGCACTGGCTGCCTTTCGAGGAGGCTCAGAGAGGGAATCCGTCTTTGACAACCGATGCTTCTACCTCCAAAGTAAGCCTGGATACATATCAAGGCCAAGGACCCCGAGGCTTGTTTGGCTATGCTCCACCGTTTTGCAGCAATGAGCCGAAAAGTGTCTGTGTACAAAACAAGAATCAAGTATCACAACTGTTTCGCTCAAATAGACCTCCTGGCAACTGAAGAGCGCATGTGTGCTTTGTGTTTACCCCGTGAACCAGTTGTGCAAAGCACTTGCAACCTTACACACTGCCCCGAGGCGATGCTGTAGATTTAGACAAGCCACCTGCAAGCGAACAAGGGTATGAAACTCTTAGCTCCACTTCAGTCGCTTCACAGTGAAGAGCGAGCACTGGCAATGGCAGCTGGGCCCTCCCACATCTCATCATCCGCGCTGAGATGGTTCCTGGCTCGCAAGTCACACTCTTGTATTCAACTGCCAAGCCCGTGAAACAGGAAACTAGAAGAACACCATCCATTTGCAGGATTTCGCCGTTTGGATCCCATCCGGCATCTTGGCATCGTTGCTCAAATGCACATGCTACGGATGCCTGCCGCGCACGCGAGGAGTTTCCTCCACGCTCTGGCACATGTTCCTCGGCCAGTCCAGACGTGCGACGTGATGCGGCCCATGCGAGACCCGATCTACATATTTATCGCTCAGGGTTCGGCCCGGATAGTGTATGTCCGTTTGGCAAAAGTCTGGGAGATTCTTGCGCTTCGGCTGTCCAAGTCCCTGCATCACATGTGGGTACGCAGGTAGGGCCCCGCCCCCCTCTGTTTGACAGCGACATGCAATCTGGAACGGTCGCTAGCTTTGTCACAAAGCCATGTGCTAGCAGTTCACTGTGAGAGGAGAACACATGCAAGTCTGAAAAACGAGGGGTGCCCCAACTCGATTGCCAGACTTCTGTGGCCCTGTGGAAGGGCATGGAGTTGTCACGTTTCCTTCAGGCTCCTTCAAACAGACTTGACAACTATTGTAACCCTTGCAGCGCAACACATGAGCCACAATTACCACCAAATACCAAAGGGCCCAAACCAATGCAAAGAATGAAAGGGTGGGCATCCGCACCTATTTCTGGCTGTCCCCAGCACGAAGCCCTGTGGCATTCACCCAAAAGCAACCCGAAAGATATGGTTTGTTGTCTCGCAACGCTGCACGCTTCAGCTTCCTCAGAGAAGCCTAACCCAAACCGGGTGGCAAAGACAACCCTAAGCCTTACCCCTCCCTCCCAACCGACCCACCCATGTTGCATTGCGCTTGAAGGCGGCACACAATCTCACAAAGGTTTAATCCCTAGGTTGCGGCTTTAGCTCAAACCGAGTATTCAGGACCTTTTGACCAGTTTGCTGAGTCAAAGAAATCAGCAAACCCCCCCGAGCCCCGGCGTATCTAAGCCAGCTGCGAGATGTCCTTTGGCAGGGACACTATTCCCAACTGGTTGTCCTGACCTGACGCACCGTCGCAGAAATACTTGCATGTTTCGTCTCCGGCACCCCTTTCCCCAGATTCTCAGCCAATATTTGTGACAACCCACTAAATAGCCTGGGAACCAAAATGTCGTGACCCAGGGGGGGAGTGACGCGCATACTCCTTCCTTATGCGTTTGGGTTAAGCAGTGATGGTGTACCACATGTTCTCTTGGGGTAGTGAAAAGTCGCTGTGCGAAATGTACTAGGATAAGAATGCGATATGACACCTTCTAGATCAGCAAGGTTCACTTCAGCTAAGTATAGTTGGAACTCTCTGGCAGCTCGTCTCAAAAGTTGCGCAAACCTTTGTGTTTCAGGGTTCTAGCCTGTTGAGCATTTTAAACGTTGGGTTTCACCCAAAACTTAAGCGGCTTTGGCTACAGGATTGGGAACCCTGGGAGTCGTTGAGGAAACAAATGGGATGTCTCTATGGCGGGGCGAGCGATTGTCCAGGGATCGCCCAAGGAGATTCATCAACCAATCATCATTTTTTGTCCAGACCGAGGCGCCACTGAAGGAGCACTTGCACCTATCCTCCCATCATCTCATCATCTCGTTCAATCTGACTCTTTTTAGGGTGCCTTCTCTGAACAAAAGTAAACACGGTGGATCTGGGATGACCCGTCGGCCTGTGAAGTTCTCGGGGATCACTCCAGTGACCTTGCCGCAAGCACGGCTTGAAGCCCGTCAAGTGGCTGAGTCAGTCAGCGTGAGTCGGATGCCTTTGGACCGGCCATTTGAAGGCGTGACGCAGCTCGTGACAACCCGCCCGCTTCATGCAGCAAGAGAAGCATGTGATTGCTTTTAAACATCAGCCAAAAGAAGCCCTCTGTTTTGAGACATGCCCATATCTGCAACCCGCCACTTGCTACTTGCTACAGTAGCGATTCATAGAAGTCGTCCCCCTTTGCAGAAACACATGACACAGCGGCTAGTCCTCCATGTCTGCCCTCCCACATGTACCATAGACTCATGGAAACCAGAAATATGGTCCTTTGCTCCAGCCAAATGCGGTAGAAAGCTGCTCAAACAGCTGGCAGAAATGATGCTCAAAATGGCCACCCTTTCTTTTGACCCACAAACCAGGGACTCCTCAAGCAGGATGGGGGGAAGAAATGGCTTGCAAGCTATCCCCCCTCATGGTCCTGAACATCTCCCCGATATTCTTCTAACGATTGTCATGTGTGCGCGGGCGATGGACCAATGCTTCCAACCGACATCGCCTCTTTCGCCCCTTCACGTCCTAAATGACCCAAAAGCAGGTCGTTTGCCAAAACAACGTGCCAGCCCTTGCCTGCATTCGCATCTCTTTGTGAAGGAAGCGCACGCAGCGCCTGCCAGAAAAGCCCAGGTTCTGTCTGCCTGAGCCGCCTCGATGCACAAAGAAATTTTGCAAACCCCAACAAGAATCAACAGCTTTGACTCGCAATCCAGAAAGGGCAAGTGTTCTTTGATCAGCTGGGTCACTTTACCCCTTTGTGATCTCTGGACAGTATCCAACGCCGTGCCTCACGCCCTCCCAGTCGAAGAGCGGACCCTGATTCAACTTCAGGACCTGGGCTGACGCGCTCTCGGAACTTGCAATGTGCCAGAAGGCACCCTCTGGCAAAGTTCAACGCAATCCGAGACAGAAGCAACTGCGGACGTGCAAGCCTTGCATATGTCGCCTGAGGCCTTGCGCCTTTCTTCCGTAGGTGTGGCCGATGTTGGCAAAGTTGACGACCACTTGACTCCTGAGTAAACGCCACGCTACTCCAGTTCCACTTTGGAGCCCGTTGCAATTCTGTTGATACATTTAGACAAGGGTGTCACACAATGTCACGTGCTGAAAAACAGACGAACATCGTCGAGAGGGTGAAGATCCAATGCCACCGGCGAGCCCAGCGCCATTGGAAGAACGTACTGTCGTGTGCTCCATTGCATCCGCATCTCCAATAGGATCAAACTCGCGACCTACTTACCTACTTCCACAAACAAACCCTTCAATTTCATGAGTAGGGGTATGGGGGTTGAAGGAGGAGAGCTTGCATCCAACTGCCAGTCTCTGGCAACTCAGCCGCCGGCAGCTTTATCTCGCGGCCGAAACAATCTTTGTGGCCCGGCCCGGCATCGTTTGTGGTCCAGCCACTTTGTCTGGGCCAGCTTTGCCTCAGTCTGAAGCTCTGAACTCTGATTTGTCCAATAGAACCCCAGACTAAGCATGTCGTAGGTTTTATGCCTTTCGTTGCGCGTGATCGATGGGCTCGCTGGCTATCTCGGGCGCCGGCTGTTGGCTGGGAGCGGCTCCCGCCAGGGCCGCGTGCGCCGCAGCCGGCTTCCACATTGGAGCCATCCACTCCGCAGCCTTCCACCCCGCAGCCTGCGCAGCCTGCGGAGCCTGCTGCGCCTGCCACTCCGCAGCCTTCTCTGGAGCCTTCCGCGCAGCCTTCTTCTCCGTGGCCTTCCGCTTGACCTACAAGGGCCGCCAATGACAAGCTAGGCGCTAACACCCAGGCACAGAACGAGGCGAAAGTTTCATGAGCTTCTCGGCGGGTGCAGGATCAAAAAATAATTATTTACGGGATCAAAAAGAAATTATCGACACCCGGATCAAAAACAAATTATTTACAGGATCCAAAAACAAATTATCTCGCCTGGGGGTGCCAAAACGCTGTAATTTACATCATTTTCGGGCAACAGCGAATCTAGCATCGGTTAACTGCCTGTAGGGTTGGCTTAAGGTTGTGTAGGGTTAATGTAGGTTGGGTTTCGGGTGGGTTTGGGGTGGGTTCAGGCTTGGTTTAGGGACGGTTTAGGGTTTGTTTACGGTGGGTGGATTTAGATTGGTTTAGGGTAGGTTTAGGTTGGGTTTAGCGTTGGTTTGCGGGTTTAGGGTGGGTTTAGGGTTGCTTTAGGGTGGGTTTAGGGTGGGTTTCGGGGTGGCTTGGGTTTGGCCTGGGAATGGTTTAGGGTTGGGTTAAGGGATGGTTTAGGCTAAGTTTACGGGTAATGGTTGGGTAGGGTTAGGGCAGGTTTAGGGTTGGTTTAGGGTTGGTTTAGGCTGGGTCTAGGGTTGGCTTAAGGTTGTGTAGGGTTGGTTTCAAGGTTGGTTTAGGGAGGGTTTGGGGTTGGCTTAGCTTGGTTTAGGGTTGGTTTAGGGTTGGTTTAGGTTGGGTTTAGGGTGGTTCTAGGTTGGCTTCGGGTAGGTTTAGGGTGGGTTTAGGGTTGGTTTAGGGTCGGTTGAAGGTCAGTAGGGTTGGTTTAGGGTGGGTTTAGGGTTGGATGAGGTTTGGCTAGGGTTGCTTTAGGGTTGGTTTAGGGATGGTTCAGGCTGGGCTAAGGCTTGGTTTAGGGTGGGTTTAGGTTTGGTTTGGGGCTTGAAAGTTGTTTAGGGTTTTTAGGGATAATTTAGGGTAGGTTTCGGGCAGGTTTAGGGCGGGTTTAGGGTTGGCTTAGGTTGGTTTTGGGTCTGTTTAGTGTAGTTTTCGGGTGGGCTTAGGCTGGGTTTAGTGCCGGTTTACGTGGCTTAGGGTTGGTTTAGGGTTGGGTTAAGGGATGGTTTAGGCTAAGTTTACGGTGGTTTTGGGTAAGTGTAGGGTAGGGTTAGGGCAGGTTTAGGGTTGGTTTAGGGTTGGTTTAGGCTGGGTTTAGGGTTGGCTTAATTAAGGTTGTGTAGGGTTGGTTTCAAGGTTGGTTTAGGGTTAATTTTGGTTGGGTTTCGGGTGGGTTTGGGGTTTCGGGTGGGTTTGGGGTTGGTTTAGGATTGGTTTAGAGTGGGTTTAGGTTTAGTTTAGGGTCTGTTTAGGGTGGGTTTAGGGTGGGTTTAGGGAGGGTTTTGAATTTTTGTTTGCGGTGGGTGAATTTTGGTTGGGTTAGGGTAGGTTTAGGTTGGGTTTAGGGTGGTTTTGGGTTGGCTGAGGGTAGGTTTAGGGTAGGTTTAGGGTGAGTTTAGGATTGGTTTAGGGTTGGTTTAGGGCAGGTTTAGGGTTGGTTTAAAAGTTGCGCAGGGTCGGTTTCAAGGTTGGTTTGTGGGTTGGTTTTGGGTTGGTTTAGGGTGGGTGTAGTTTGGTTTAGGGTCGGTTTCGGGTAGGAGAGCAGGCCAGGAGACCAGCAGACCAGGAGACCAAGGAGACCAAGGACCAGGAGACAAGACACAGGAGACCAAGGACCAGGAGACCAGGAGACCAGGAGAGCAGGGGACCGGCAGACCAGCAAAAAGCAGGAAAAGGAAATCAGCAGACCAGGAAACCAGGAGACCAGGCGACCAGGAGACACGGGGACCAGGACACCAGAAGACCAGGGACCAGCAGGAGACATGGGGACCAGGAGACCAAGGACCAGGAGACCAGGATAATTTGTTTTTGACCCAAAATAAATATTTTTGATGCTCATCCCCTTCTCGGCGGCTACTCTTGGTTGGGAGTCATTCCAATTTCCAAATTTGCACAGCAACCGTGGCTGGTCCCACATGAATTTCAGTGCACTCGCTCACCTGGCCTGCACACTTCTGCCCTCTGGCGCCCACGCTGGGATCGCTTGCACCGAAGGCTTTGCAGAAGGCCGCCAGCTTTTGTTGATCTTATTCCTTCGCTCCGCTTCGCCAGCAGTCCAGCCTCAGGTCTTGCTCAAGCAAAAGGAACCGGGGAACCCGAAAACCTAAGCCGCCCAAACCGCCTCACGGCGCGGCGAAAGCAAAGGAACTTTGCAGCTTGCGAGTCGGCCTTGACCCTCAATTCGCTTAACATTTGGACTGGCTTTGTTGCTGAGGCTCCAGGTTGCAAGCAGCCCTCAATCCAAGCAGACGTCCAACCTGCCCGAGCGCGAGGCCGCTCGCTTGCTGAGGCTGCGCAGCCCATTTCGGCTGGTTCGCGGCCTCCAAGCCGGGAGGCACCGTCCGCTCGGAATGGTCTAGTCCGAACAGAGGGAGGGCTCAACTTGGGCGCTGAAAGGAACGAACACTATCCACTGGCACAATTTGGCCCAACTTGAAGATAAGCCCCAGTCTTTGTCCTCTTGGCAATTGGAGCACTCCCTATTCTTGGGCTAAAGACCTGCGATCCCGAGCTGTCCAAACCAAGCAAAAGCCCCTTAAATTCACAAGAGGAAAACAAGCACTTGGAAGCGCGGGCTTCATGTCAGCAGAAGTTTGCCTTTGGAGAAACGTGCTGCTTAGCCAGGTCTTCCGGAAAAGTGGAGGTGACTACCACAGTTTTCCTTGGGTTTTTGGCTTCACTTGGATTCCGCCTCCAGTTTTCCTTGTGCACGTCCCTTTCTTGAAGCCCTTGGCCTGTCCCAGTCAGCTCCCGCCGGCGCAACGTAGGCTGCTTGCGCCGCGTCCGCATCTGCTGGCTCGCCTTGCTGGGCGCGCGCATGCTCCGCGCGTACCTGGGCAAGGCACGGAGAAAAGCCTGGCTTTGCGTCGAAATGGGACATCCTTCCGGGCGGGGCTTCAAAGCAAAAGAGAACCAGCCGAGTGGGGTGCACCGAATAGAACCGAGACGCATCCATTTATGAAGCAAGCTTCATTAAATAAGGGGGCCCTTTGGTTAAAATAAGGGCCGGCTTGACGCCTGAAGAAACGCCTCGCCCGGTTGCCACCAAATTGAGCATCCCATGCCAAGCGCTATCATGACCAGCAGCCACTGCCAAACGCCTACCCATACAAGTTGTCCTGACCTGTGCATCTGACGCAAAACAAACTCAGGCCATCCTGAATATCCTGCTCCAGCAGCAAAGTACTCAGGAAGGTTGGATTGTTTGAGGTGAAGTGCCCCTAGCAAAATCGAACACCGTGAGAGCCTGCTAACATGTGCTCTAAGTGTGGAGGAATCTCCGGAAAAAGAAGAAGCAACATCCTCCTTCGCAGAGTCAAACAGATTGGCTCACGAATCTCAAGGACAACAGTGGTCGACTCACACAATCGCAGAACCTTGCAAAAAATGATGCTTGAAAACACGGTTGTCTAAAAATCCTCTAGCAGGGCGCGTGTGTATCTTAATTCACCCGAAACAACCAGGTTTGACCTGGGCTGACATGATTTGGGGGCTGCAGAAAATAGTGAACCCCTAACAAGTGGTTGTTCCCTTTTGGGTTCTCTTTGGGGAACCCTTTTTTCTCACCCTCCAAACCTTTTTTTTCAACCCTTCCCTGTTTTTTCAACCCTTCATCCTTTCTATTTAACCCTCCCCCCGTTTTTTTAAACCCTCCCCCCTTCTTTTTTAACCCTCCCCCCTTTCTTTCTGACCCTCCACCTCTTCCTTTTAACCCTCCATTTCTTTTTTGCCAACCCTGTGGCCGAAGTTTGAAACTGCACTAAGCAACGGTCCAGGGTTGGGTTGGTTTAGGAGCGGCTTTGGATTTAGGGTTTGTTTAGGGTGGGTTCGGGCGGGGGGGGGTAGGTGGGTTTAGGGTTGGTTTCGGATGGGAAGGGCTTAAGGGTTTAGAGGCGGGGTAGGGTTTGTTGAGCAAGTTTGTGGTCGGTTTAAGTTTAAGGTTGGTTTCGAGCAGGTCTGTGCTGGGTATATGGTGGGTTTAAAGTTGGATGAGGGTGGTTTTGGGCTTGGAGAATGACAGCGGGTTTAGGATGGATTTAGGGTTGGTTCAGGGGGGGGTTAGAATGGGTTTAGGGTGAGGTCAGGCTTGGGATTAATGTTGGATTTACATGGTGTTAGTTCAGGGTGGGATTAGGGCGTGTGTCGAAAGGGTTGAGGGTGGATTTAGGGTGGATTTAGCGTTGGCTTAGAATCTGTTTGAGGTGGGTTTGGGGTCAGCTTCAGGCGGGTGTAGAGTTGGATTAGGTAGATTTAGAGCAGGATTTCGGTGGGTTTGTGTTTGGTTTAGGTGGTCTGGAGTAGGTCTGTGGTGGCTGTAGGGTTGGCTTAGGGTTGGTGTAGGGTTGGTTCAGGGCGGGTTTACGGTTTGTCTATGTCTAGGGTGGAGTTGGGGTTGCGCTAGGGGTTGATTTGGGGTGGCTTGATTTCAGGTGGGCTTAGGGTGTTTAAGGGTATGTTGTTCGTTTGTTTTGGGTTGGATATAGGTTGGTTCAGGGTTGGTCTGGGATGGTTTAGGGCGGGGTTTGGGGTTGGTTTAGGCTTGGATGTGGATTGGTTTTGCGGCTGGCCTAGGGATTTAGGGTTGGGCCAAGCTCAGCTTAGAGTCTCAGGGTGCGCTTAGAGTTGGATCAGGGTGGGTTCATGGTTGGTACAGGGTGGGCTTATGGTTGGTTTAAGGTTGCTTTGGAGTGGCTCAGGGTTGGTTAGGGTTGGTGTCGGGCTAGGTTGGTTTTGAGTTTAGTGTGGGTTTAGCGTTGTTAGGGTGGGGATTTAGGGTTGTTTTTGGGTGAGTTTAGGGTGGGTGCAAGGTTGGTTTGGGGTTGGTTTTCGCTGGGCTTGAGTTTAAGGTTGGTTTTCGGGGTGGTTCGTGATTGGTTAAAGCTGGTTTAGAGTGGGCTTAGGATTGGGTTAGGATTGGCTTAGGGTCGTTTTCGGGTTGAGGGTTGGTTTTGGGTCGGTGGGTCTGTTCAGGTTGGTTTAGGTTGGGCTTAGGGTTGCATTAAGGCTAGATTAGGGTGGGATTGGGGTTTAGGCAGGTTGAGGGTGGGTTTATTGTTGGCTTAGGCTAAGCTTAAGGTGTGGGGTGGGATTATGGTTGGATCAAGGTTCGGGTGGGTTTAGAGTTCGTGTAGGGTGGGTTTAGGGTGGGTGCAGGACTGGCTTGTTGGTTTAGGGTTGGTTTAGGGTCGGTTTGGGATTGGTTAGGGGTGGGTTATGTATGCTTTAGGGTGGTTTCGAGTAGGTCTGTGGTGCTTGCGGTGGGTTTAGGGTTGGACAAAAGACGTTTCTGGCTTGCTTGCAGTTTAGGGGGTGTTGTGTAGGGTGGGTTTGGGGTGGGTTTGGGGTGGGTTTGGGGTGGGTTTGGGCGTGTTTGGTTGGTTTGAGATGGATTTAGAGATACTGAGGGTTCGCAAGGTTTGGCTTAGGGCGGGCCTAGGGTTGGTTTGGGTTGGGTTGGGTGCGGGGCAGGCTTGGGTTGTTTTAGGTTTAGGGTGAGAAAAACAAGGTTGCGGGGTGAAACAAGCAAGCTCGCGGGTGGAAAAAACAAGGCGGAGGGTGAAAAAACAAGGCAAAGGGTGAAAAAAACAAGGTGAGGGGTTGAAAAGAAAGGATTCTCAGGGTTGGAGAAACAAGGTTCCCGCCGACGGTTCCCAAGCAGGGTTTGAGGGTTGAAAAAAGGGTTTGGCCATCAGGGCCTGCCAGCTGCCAAACAAAGCAGGCATTTTCGGCCCCTGGCGCGCCATGAACTGCTCAAACCGGGGGTCACCACGGCGCCGCTGTTCCTGCGCCCAAGCCACCAGATCTTGGTACGAGGAAATTCGGGCACCTAGCCTTCTGATGGTGTTGTACATGTCGCTTGGGCGAAACGCTGTTTGGAAGAACTTCTTCACGTGTTTCCATCTCGGTCAATAGTTCGGAGGGTGAAAAAAAAGGGAGCCCGTTCTCTTTGAACACCATCGACGGTTTTGATTGGCCTGCAGAATGGGCCACATGCCCTGGCTGCCCGGAAACCTCCCACGTGAGAAGTCAAAGAACTGATTGAAAGTTTCTCATCTCATGCCGGTCGTTCTGACAGCACAAAGCAACAGGCTAGAGTTGAGAGTAGCTGCCTTCTGCTTCTTCCTTTTCTTCTTCTCCTGCTTGCCAGATTTAGGTCGGTGCTTGGCAATGGGGACCAGCACGCGCTCCCGCTTGCCAGGGTAATGCTTGGCAACGGGGACCACCTCTCGGCCGTGGCGAAATTGGCGACACCAAACGTCAAACAATTGCGGGTCCACCGCAAACAAACAGGCGCACGGTGGGGAACAGTTCCTCCCAAACGTCTCTTCGCTGCGAGGTGTTCGTCTTTGCGAACTGCGCCCTTCATGGGGTTCAACCAGCTTTCATCTGTCATGCCAATATAAAAGCCTCCGAGCTCTTCCAAAATGATTGAAACATTGAATGCCTGCGATGACTCCGGCCTACTCGAACGATTCATATTGTAAGACATCTAGGAGGAAGATGGAAGACCAGTGGGGCGGGGGGCGAAGCACTCAACTCATAAGCCACTTCAAAACAACAAACGAAATGTTTGCATGTTTACAGAACCCCACCCCATGTCAATTCCGAGATGGGGACCATTCCGCAGTGAGTTGGCGCAAAAGATATGCATGTGCCGTTGCGCACAGGATCAGCTTGGTCTCCAGCCTCTGCGGGACAGGGCTCCAGAAAGATGTGCTACGCCCGGCACCCCACCCCTGGCCTGCTTCGCACTCGGAGCCTTCGGAGCCGACTGCGTAGGCCTGGCCTTTCCCTTGGGCGTGGCCTTCATCAAGGGCACGCTGGCCTCCTGAGCCGAATCAACAGCTAAACGCCCAACGAAAAGGCAAGCCGAGCAGAGCAAAGCAAAGCAAGAAAGCAAGGTAGCAATGAAGCACACAAGCAACCAATCACTAAGCAGCAAAAGGCCGCCTCCGCCGTCACCACCACCACCACCACCACCACCACCACCACCACCACCACCACCACAACAGGACAGAATATGTTCCGCTTCCACAAGCAAAACTGCAAAACCCTATCCCGAACTACACAAAAGCTACCCATTGCCCGAATCAAGCGTACCTCACAAGTGGAGCTAGTGCTACCCATAGTTCACGAGCACAATTAGGGATGTCCCCAAAAAGTTTGGATTCCGCTACGAATGGGTGCTTGGAGATCTGGGTTAAAAGTCACCACCCTAAAATAAGAAGAAAGTGAACCAATCCTCAGCCATCATCTCCCGCGGAGCTGCCACCAACTCCGCCGGAGCTGCCTGGATTGCGTAGAATCGCAGGGCCATGTGGTGGGATGTACGGGCGGATCTGTACTGTACATTTCTCCAGGTCAACATCTTTGCAATCCAAATGGAGGGAGAGATGGTGGGTGGAGGAGGTAAATCGCTTGACTCGACAGGTAACTATAAACAAGCGAGGGAAGGAAAGGAAACGAAAGAGGAAATATGGCCAAAACTTAATCCTCAAACTTAATCCTCCATGCGTGGCCTTTCTATTTAGTATGGAATAGTTTAGATTTATGTGCCTCTTTGTGTCCCAACTTCTACTTCTCCCAACTAAAAGATGTCCAAGGACACAAATCAAAGACGAGAAAGAGATAGGAACATGACGATAAGTTGTATAACATGAGACACCCAAAGATATAAATATATAATAGACATGAGGATTGAACCAAAATTAGCAGTGAAATAATAACATGCACACCTATGTATGTACACAAACACCAATGTTCAAATACTTATCCTGACTCGTCCCCATCCCAGCCCTGGTCCCAGGCATCGGTGTCTCCCGCGTGCACTCGGCGCGCCTCTCTCGCCGTGCCCAGTTGCGCGGTTTCGTCCTGGCCAAACAGCTGGCGCCGTGGACGCAACAAACAGCCACATGAGCCCTGAAAGTGCCAGATCACCTGAGGTCCCCACTGACACCTCTGAAAATCGCAAACGGCTGCAATTTTGGTCTTGTTCTTGACCCTTGCGCAACGTGGCATGGAAGGTTGCTTCCCCTCCAGCTTTGCTTGCATAGAGCATAGAGGTGCTCTCCCAAACTTTAGCCTTAATATCAAAGGGCTTCCTGAATTTTGACAGCATTTCCGATTGGAAGAAATGAAGTACAGCTGGCGTGGGTCCTAGCAAGCAGCATTCTTTCAATCAGAGCATTGGACAAAGGACCATCCGAAAAGAGACGTCTGCTTGCGCCCAGCGACAGCTATGGCAGCTATGGGATCTGGGCCAATCCTGGAGAGATCCAAGGAAGTTCTCCGATGCCTATGGACTCCATGACGCATCGGCGGTCCTCGACCTCCTCGTCGTCGGCCTCTTCGTCACTGATTTCGAAGCTCCCGACGAGCCTTCCGTCAAGTACCTGCCAGGTGTAGGCAGCCATGGGTAGGGCTGGGGTCTACGCCCTCCCTTGATAGCCGGTCTGTTGCAAATATCTCGAACCTTTTGATAGCATTTTCAAATTGAGACTCATCGGTCCTGTACCATGTTCTTCACAGAATGTGCCAAACATCGCGATCCGTTTTGCCATCCTGCTATGGAGGGGTCCAATCAATTGTGGCTCACCAACTTGCGGCAGATTTCGTGTCAAGCCACAAGGGTGGGGCCACACCGGCCTCGCCGCTCGCCGGAGCCGCCGGAGCCGCCGGAGCAGCCGGAGCAGCCGGAGGGGCCTCCCGGACGATGCCCGCTCTCGTGAAAAGAACTTGCTTAGCAACCACCAAACCGTTCAATGACTTGAACCACCTTCTCTTCCCGGCTGGGATCTCGTGTGGCGGGGAGCCCCAAGGTTTGGAGGGGGTCCAGTGGATTTAGAAGCGGCTCAAATGTCCCGCCCAACCCGCTAGGGGAAATACCTGACAAACCTTGTCCCAGAAACTTTGGCGCTATTTTCACAGTGGGTGCTCTCAGCCTGGACGAGAAATCCAACATGTCCACAGCTCAAGTTGTTCCGGGGACCCCACAAAAATGCTCAGCCTCGCAGGAAACAGGCCATGGGAAATGACTCGGGCCCCGGAACTTGTTGAATCTGTTGTGCTCACATCAACTGTTTTTACAGTGAGCATAGGCAGTCACAAACGTGGACCGGCGGGCTGCATGTCTCCCATGGCGTCAGCCAAACAGCCACAGAAACTATCCCAACTCTTCTCCGCTTGCTGTGATGTGTTTCTATGGCAACCAAGGGGCTGCGTTTCATTCAGGCAGCTGTGTTTTGTTTGGCCCGCCACAAGCAGCTTCAAAACAACCCGTGCCAAGAGCAATGAAGCAACCCCGCTCCCTCAATCCCAAGCCTTGCTCGCCACGGGCGCGCTCACAGCGGGCGCTTTCACTGCAGGCGCTTTCGCCGGCGTTGCGGGAGGGCCACCTTGGAAGCCAAACTGCTGGGACTAGCCCCTAACTGATCCCTGGAGGAAGTATGTTGGATGTATTGCACCCCTGGCATAATTTTGGCTTATAATATATATATATATATAGGATTGGACCCCTCCTAGGCTGCCAATATTGACCAACTCCCCGCAAAGACCACGTAACGCGCTTGCCGGGTGCCTCCTCCCGTTTCAAACCCTGCTTAGCTTGCTTGCCCAGTGATGGGGAAAACACACACTCACACACATGATTTGGCGGCTGGAACCACGCCCAACACAAAAGTCAAAAAAGGAGCCTGACTCCACTTGCCGGCCAAGCGTCTGGTCACCGCAGCCTGCACAAGGCGCGACTGCGAGGTGCTGAGTTGTACAAGCATCCAAGCAGTGGAGAAACACTTCCTGGTCAGTCACCTCTCTTCTCCAATGATCGTAAACATCGTCCCGCGGAGCCTTTTAGTGCCTGCCTTCTTTGTCTCCCTGATTGATTCAGGTGAGCCTGTTTCCGCATTCTTCTGACCGTTGTCCGGTGCCCCATGCCTCTGTGCAAACGGGCCAAAGAGCATCACGCATGCTGCACAAGCTACAAGGGCAGCAAAGTCAAGTCCAAGCCATCGTGTTTAATCTCACAATTGGAGGGTTCCCTTTGGATTTGGTTTGAGCAAACATCTGTAGGGGTCCCCCAAACTTTGGAGACCGACATCCCCTGAATGGTAGCAACGGATCCAAACCCAAAGCCGTGACCTTCCGATCTCCAAAGGCAAACCACGTGCCCCACCTGGCTCGGCGGCGCCTGAGGTCAAACAACGTGCAGCATACACCAATGGGATCCGGACTAGACGTAAATGGCAAAGCCTGGGCATAGGTAGACAATAAGTACCTCCCCAGGTGTTGCGGTTTGCGGGCAGTGGAACCCTCTTTAAACGATGAAACCCGGCTTACACCTCTTTGGTTGGACGACCAGACGTGGAAAAGTTACTATTTCGAAGGAAATCGCATGCTTTGGCACAATCCCCTCTACCAGTAGCTGTCTCAAAACTAGGGACGCATTGAAACCATCTAAGCATGCCCTTACGCCCTTTGGCAAAACCGTATCCTTGACTTTGAATGTTACATGCCCAACATCAGAGGAGATACACAACAAGCAGCAAGATCCATGGGCAGGCAAGAATGAAACATATCATAGGCGATGATACGCATCATGCATGATACCGTGTTTTGCAAAAAATGGCCAAAGTCTAACAGCAAGTACAAGAGAAGGAACAGCAAAGCACAAGCAACACAGACCACAAGCAAATCACGAAGAAGGCAAGCACGACAACGTACAAGTCAGGCAGCGAGCAAGCATGCAAAGGAAAGTAAGCAGTGCCGACAGCAAAGCAAGAAAGTCAGGCAGGCAGGCAGGCAGCAGGCCAGTCAGCCACCCCCCCAAACTCCTTCCCAGTTCTTCCAGGCAAATTGTGTTACGAAACGTGAATTCGACCTGTGAACTCAAGACCAGCTATGTTGTCCCTTGCTCACAGTCTGATCCTACGAAAAGGAGCCTTCGGTGACGTCGCAGTGGTTGAAGTTGCTATGCTGAATCGCCCAAAACACCCGTAAAGACGGCAAACCAAGGCCAAGCTTTCAAGTTGTGATCGCCAGTGGACCAAAACAGGAAACCAAATTTCCAAGACTTCGATTCGTTTGGGCAACTCTGACAATCACCCGATCCCTGAACTTTTCTTGGAGACTCCATGCGAAGAATGCGCGTCTGAAGGCTTCTGTTGCACCTTGAAATTGTACCCAGGACTGACTTATTTGGAAGTAGCGCAGAATGGGGTAAGTCCCAAGCTGGAACAATCTCAGGGTGCAACACAAACAAGCTTGATCTCCACCTCCGCGCGTCCCCCCCTTCATGCACTCTCTCCCTTGCACCCACAGGGACAAAACATGTGGAAGGTCCTTTGTGAGGTATAAACAGGTGGGGATACGGGATCAAGCCACTGACCCCGAACTCGTTGCCCCCCTTCCCCCAAAAAATGGTAAAAAGGGGCTAGCCAGGGGGTGGCCTGTTGATGGTTGCCTGTTCTGGCTTTTATGTTAATCTCAAATCTGTGTTCCCCCTTATTCGTTTTTAAAAGGGGTGTTTTGAGGAGCTTATTTATCGTTTTCGTTAAGGTAATCATGTGGGTAAATTGTCGCCTTGTTCATTGTTGGGCTGGGGGCCGACATTTTTTTCATTTGAAAGAGGTAGCCCTTTTAGTAGTTGTCAAGTTCTGGGGTGTTGGCGGTGCTTGTGTTTTCAGGGTTGGGTTTCCCGTCGACCGCCCCGGCTTCGTGGACAAGCTCAACGTCCTCGGTTTTGTCGGGATGCCCAGTTCGTTTGTGTTTTGGTCTTCGTGTGGAATTTACCTACGTTCGCTTTACAAAGCGACGCTTGACCGCAGTTTTGGCTACAAACCTATCTGACATTACCATTGCAAAAATGATGCAGTGGCTGTACTCGCTTCAGGAACAATGGCTGATGATGTTGGCGTGCTTCCTCCCTCAAAGGGTGTCACGACCTTTCCTTGAGCGTCGAGCCAGAAGGGACTTTGAGGCCTTCCGTGCTTTTCTGCTTGAAAACCGACACCTTTTCCACAACTTGGACGAGGAAATCTCAGATGAACATCAACAAGTGGCGGGAAATGACGCAGTCTTTGACATGGCAGACTTTGACTGATGGTGTCAGACTGAGACGGCTTTGTCTTAGAACTGTTTTGCATCGTGAGGAACAGTGTGGCACACGATGCTCACAAACCTTTCAGTCAAGTCTTGACAGACAAAAACAAAACATGAGCAAGTTGAGTGACAGAGTTTGCTTTTTCCTTGTGTTGCTTCGACAGAGATGTGTGTTGTATTTGCTCTACTCATCAGCCGTTCTTGAATAGAGTTCTGACCTTCCTAGTTTTGCCCTCGTATCCCTCGCCTCTCTGTGATATGGCACCGAAGCAGATGGGAGCCAACATCATCTCCGACTCGGGCTACAAGTCTGAGGAGAAACCTGATGAGGTCGCTGTTCCCGAGCAGGAGGAGCAGGAGCAGGAAGAGAGCGAAGAAGAAGTTGTCAGCGATGGTGAGGTAAGCGTTTCCATTTTGGAAGCCACTCACACTGAAGTCCCGTCGTCTTCCACCGACCAGCCGACAGGCTCTACCACCGTGACCGCTAAGGTGTCCTACAAGTCGGTGACTGTCAAGTTTCAAGTGGAGAAGAACTTAGACCTGAACTCCTTGATTGATGACATGGAGACGGTGAAGGAACAGTTGGACGAGTTGTCGTCATCCGACGAGGGCATCAAGCTGAAGCAGAAGCAGGAGCTTCTCATCCTTACCGAGGTGGCGAAGATGCGTTTGTTGAGCGAGACCATCAACAAGTTGAAGAAGGAAGAGAAGGTGAAGAAGCCGAAGAAGAATACCGCCAAGCCTGACAAGTCTACCATGAACATTACGCTTCGTTTCCAGATGGGGAACACCATGAAGACCCTGACCATCAAGCAGAACTTGACCATCGGCGACCTGAGGAGGAAGTTGGTGGAAGAGTTCGGTCTCCGCCAAAAGGTCGCCAAGGTCATGACGCTGACCTTCGGGGAGACGGTGATTTCGGAGAGTGGTCGTGCAACGATTTGTGGTGACACCTTGAAAGACCTTGGTGTTGACCTGAAGGAGAACAACCTGATTAAGGTGACCGTGTAGGTCTAGTGTTTGAACAAAGAGAGGCAGTGTATAGTTGCCTGTGTGTCTTGGTTTCCTTGGCGACTAGCCGAGATGAAGGACAGAGACGGATGGGGGGAACATGCGATTGGAAAAGACATGCTTGACAATTCATGACAGTCAGAACATCGTGTTGTGTGACTTTTGATAAACATTTAGGATTATCAAGGTTGTTGCTTTCAGCAGACATTTTGGAGACTCAATTCGTGACCTGTCACCTCCTTTGTTGAACCGATGGCATCCTCAGACAAGTGGTTGGACTTGTTGAAAGAAGACGTGGAGGTTCCGGCCATTAACCGACGACCCCGTGGCGATGCTCATTGGTCAAGGAAGTTGAAAAATCAAATGTTGCTTCTGAACACCTTCATTGAGACGAGAGACCTGAAACAGGACTTTGAGAACTTCACAGCATCTCAGGCTCAGTCATCTGAACCTGCAACTTCTGTGGTGTGTGATGACTTGAAGCATGTAGTTCCTGTTATCCACTCCACTGTCTTGCTGGACGATGGTGGAGATGAACAGTCAGAGCCCGAAGGTGGAGATGACCCCTCTGGTTCTTCCCCGAGTTCTTCAGAGACCACCCAACCTTTTTTGACTGTCATTGTGGCGTTTGAAGGGGAGTACCACCACTTTGCCCTCGCTGAGAACAAGTGCAACATCATGAACTTGGTCTTTCGAACTGCTGCTCGGCTGAACCTGCCTTGGCATCAACTCGTCTTTGAAGTAGAAGGTCAAAGACTTGATGACCACGAAGACCTTTGGTTTTACGCTCCAGATGACGTGGACGAGACCGTTGGCTTGCTTCTTGACGAGAATGCGGTGATGCGAGACCCCGTCAATGTGATTGTCTTGGAGCAGTATGGACAAAGGTGTCAGTTTGACCTGATGCTGACCAACTTCATGTTCGTGAACATCAAGGACTATGTTCAGGACTACTTGAGTGAAGTCTTGCGGATGGAGAACCGCGACCTCAGGCTCCACTTCAACAACATCAGGATTGAAGAAGAACATGTCACTGCTCACCCTGCTGTTGGAGATGAACTGTTGATGATGTTGTCCATCACTGGCGAGGGTGGCGTGCTTCATCGCTCCCAGCTTCAGGTAGAAGCACTGGAGACTTTGAAGAACAAGGTCATCAAGTCTGTCAAGAAAACGAAGGCGCCCGCTAACACCAACCATCCTCAAGGTTTCAGCGACTATGTCAACCAGTTCAAGCGAAAGATGCAGGACATCGCCTTCATGAAGAGTCAAGGAAATAATGTCATGGAGGCGGGCATTCGTTCGCTCACAGATGAGCAATTGCAGATGGTGAAGGAAATCATGGACTTCAACCAGTCAAAACGGCGTGGTTCGTCAGAGGAACGCCTTCAGCAAGCGGTGAGCACACTATTCCCGCTACACCAAGAGTTGGATAGTGCCATCAAGACGCTTCAATGTGTGCAGGAAGAACTGATGATTCAAATGCTTACCACTTATACCGAAGAGTTCAACACCTTCACTGGTTCGTCCATGGTGCTGGACAACGGGGCATTTCTACGAGAGGTAGAGGATGAACTTCGCTCTCGTCAAAGGCAGAGGGAACGCTCACTTGCAGAGGAAAGCGGTGAAAATCCCGCAGATCTAGGAAATGGTTGCGTTGTGGGATGACGCGTTTGACATGTACAGATGTCAGAAAGACCGAAATCCTTGACAAGGCTTTGAGTGCGAAACAGGCTGATTTAGGTTCAATCCCATCAAATTGGGACTGTCAATCCCCATCATTTGGGACACCCAGTCCAACAATCCCCGCCTTTTGGGACTGTCAATCCCCAACATTTGGGACACCCAGTCCCACAATCCCCGCCTTTTGGGACTGTCAATCCCCAACATGTGGGACACCCAGTCCCACAATCCCCTCCATTTACACCGCCTTACCCATTGCTCATATCCGAGGTTGAGAAGTCAAGATGCGGTTTGCCTACCAAACCGTCGCCTTCAAGGTTTCGACGTGGGATGGACTGGGAGGGTTCCCACAAACACTTGTAATGTTTTATCCCTCATCCAACAAACAAACAAACGAAT